AATTTCAAGAACTACAGGTAGTTAGTGGCTACCATAAGGAACGTGTTGCTATTTCCCTAAAGTGACTCCTGGGTCAGAAATTTTGATTCTATTATTTTAGTGAGAGACTAAAACCACAAAGAGTAAGCAACATGGAGAACCCCATAATAGGAAGTACCCAGTGATGCAAGGGGATTCCCATCCCACAGGGAATTCCAGAATACTCCTCAGCTCTGCAAGTGAGGGAATGATAGGGACTAACCTGGGAAATTTCTTTGAACTTTAGCAAGGAAGGTATTGATCCAACATTACTGTTTTCTTTAAAGGTGTTTTCCTTGTACACAGAAGATGAGGCGATAAAAACTGTTACAGAAGATTAAGAAATTTAAGTTCCTCTTCATCTTTCTCCTGGACCCTGATTTATCAATCAGAAAACAAAATTGCAGTAGAATTTTTATAATCACAATCACAGCCACTGTACATGTCTTCCTTGGCAGTGCTGCAAATGACCCTTAAGGTTTGGCACTGAGTTTCCCTGCCTACTTTGTGCTGCTTCCCAGGGCTCAGGAGATAATCCTGTAACTACTTTCATGGTTGAAAGTTTCTACCAGAGAAGCAAGAATTCAAAGGGAATTTTTGACCCATTTATGCCTAAGGCAGGAAACTGAAATGCCAAACAGGACAGAAGTTTTTAGTCCTCTGACCCATTTTTAGAGAACTACAAAGGAGAAAAAAGGGAGGTAGTTAATTGGTCACAGGACTTGACAGCCACCTCTACTTTCCTTTTCTAATTGACTGCTAGAAACAACACCCTCTTCAAGGAATGCTCAAAGGGGAAACGTGCTGGGACAGGAGACCCCTGATGAAATGGCTTCAGAAGCTGAAGATCATTAATTAAGAATATTGAGAGTGAGGTTGAAAGCTTAGCTGAAATGAATAGGAGGGCCAACTCAGTATCAGCTGCCACCTACACATCAGCAATTAAGCCTTATGAAGGCTCTCAGTGGAAACTTACATCTCCTAGGCATCCTCCTGAAGTCTCCAGAGGCCACTCAACCCTGAAGACCACAGCACTGACCCTGGAGTGATATTTATAAAATCCACTGTGATAGACCTTAGATTCTCAGGACACTGTGTCTTCTGAGCACTGCTACCCATCACCTTAAACAATTTCTCCAATGAAAGCCAGCATCAGGTTCACCAGGAGGGGTTGTTCAAAACACTGCTAAGGCTCATCAGGGGTGGGGCCCCAGGTGGGGCTGAGAATTTGTATTTCTAACAGGTTCCCAAGTGATGGTGATGTTGCTGGTCTGGGGACCATACTTTGAGCATCAATGGCCTAGAATAGTGGTTTGTTACCCTAGCAACACATTAGAATCACTTGGGGAGCTTTTTAAAGAATATGTCCCAATTCTTCATCAATTGAATCAAGGTTTCTTGGGATGGGGTTTGACTGAGCATCTGTATATTTTAAAGGCTCCCTATCTGATTCCAATGTGCTGGCTGGGCTGAGAACCATTGTTGAGGAGATGACCTTTATTCAAATGTGATGAACATATATGATGAACAATTTCATAATCACTTCCTAAAAGCTGCTACCTTTCAAGCTAATAAAATGAAAAAGTAGAAAATGATCCTGTTTTTTCTTGAAAATTTAGAGATAGGAGGCAGATCTTGACTCTACCTACCCTTGGAGATGATACTTCACTAGTCATTTTTCTTTTTCCTCCTTTTTTCCCCCAAACCCAAATATGATGAGCCTCTTTGGATCAGCAAATGCACCCTTCACTCCTATGCTACTCAGACAGGATTCTCTGCAGATTTGCTAATTAGAGCAACTAAAGATCTAGAAACACATAAATCTACTAATTCCTTTAAAACAGGGTAGGTTTTTGTATTTTTTAATAAGAATCCTACAAGTTGAGCACCAGGTAATGATTTCTAAAATATTCAAAATTTTCTAAGATTTCTTCCTGTAGTCTATTTTTTATCCTTCACAAATCCTGTTTCTTTCTTTCTAAATCAGATTCTAGTTCTCCTCATTTCGCTTCATCTATCATTCAGCAGCTTCTATCTTTTCTCATTACCTCTGCCTTTTGTGACAAGTAGAAAATTTCCAATGAATTACTCTTATAAAATAAAGTTCTATGGTGTCTGTTCCTAATTTCACAAATGGGGAACTAAATATTTTTCTTTGGTGGGAAAAAAAGAAGCTAAATTATTTTTGGTATGTGCATCCTGATTAACTCTGCCTTGGGCACTGGCCTTTAACAGGAAGCTTGTTCCCCACCCTTAATTCCTCAAATTAAAGAATCTTCAGTCTAAAGGACTGTGAGCCATTAATCAGCACCTACTGGTGAATTAAGACAATGGGGAGTTTACTTCCAAATAATAAGGCTAAGGAAGGACTGTATCACTTCGAATCTAAAACTGTGATTTTAGATTCTAAATGAGAAAAGTGATTTGGCCCCACCTTCCCCATGTGCAATCTCTGGAAATACTTAGGGCTGTCAAACTTGCATCTAGTGAGCAGACTCCAGGAATGCATCAAAACATCCTATACTGCACACAGTCCAGCCCCCAATGCAAAGAATCATCTGGTCCATCCTGCCATTCGTGCTGACATAAAGAAACCATATCTAGAAGTTTCTATGTGAAGATAGATGACTTCTCAGCATTGTAGAACTCACAGGGATCTAAGGTGGAGGAAAAAGAGAGGGGCAAATGGTCCAGAGTCAATGAAGTAGTATAAAAACTCCTCAAAGAGCCTGGGCTACTGCTTACCCTCCCAACCACCTAGAACAAAGACAGGAAGCACTTAGCCTTGGCCTTGCCAGTTGTCAATCAGGGCTTTCTTCACAGAGGTAGAGTTTAGTTTGGTAGCAAAAACAATCTCATTTTGCAATTCAGCATCTGGTCACTGTAAAGCTTTCTTACATCACTGTTCACTTTTAACAAGGCTTAAGCCAAAGAAAAAAGGATGGGAGAGAGGGAGGGAGGGGAAAAATTTTAATATAGGAATTATGATAGGTTGCATTTGAGAAATAGACTATATCATTATTTTTGTAAAAATCTAAATAATAACACTGTCCCTCTCTTGAGGAACTTTGTTATCTAACCATTTTTATTTGGGGTAATTTGCACAGGGGTCTTTGCATATGAGTAAATAGGGTGATAACTTAAGGGTTCTTCCCGTGTATCATTAATATTGTAATGAAATGATGGTATTAGGTATTTTTCCAGATGATAATAATTCTTATAAAATTACATTACTCAACTGTAAATATCAAAGTGACCTAGCCTAAAAAGATCAACATTATTATGTCTTTCGATCCTTAATAATCAAAATGAGCATTGTGACCAGGATTTGTCTGTAATCATCTTCTGGTTTTAAATGCCAAATAGCTACTTAATGGGAGAACTAAAAATCTAAATTTTAAAAGGGTTATATAAAGAACGTGCCTCACAAAATAGTGTTTCCCTTCTAAGTATCCACTAGAAGTTCCTTTAAATAGCAAAGCCCATTGAGTTTGCTTATATGCTTACCTCCTTTTCTTGGGGAAAGAAAGAAGAGATGCCAACCAAACACAGAGCAGAAAAGAAAAAGCACCAAGTAGGACAACAGGGACTTTCCGTGAAGCAGTTATCATATAAGTCACTGTGATAACTCCATATTCTCAGAACCCCTTCCCAAAGGAGTTGGTTATTTCAATATATTCTAAAATTCTACCATGCAACAAAAAGTTGCATAAATATGCCACCAATAAATGTTAAATGCCTCTATTGAATATGAATTGTTTATCCCAGGTCTATAATGTTCTGTGCCTTAATACTTCAGAGATATTAGATCCTAAAATTTGATTAAAACCATATTCCTTTCATTTGCTGCCATTATCAATGATGCAAATTCACACATGTGTTAACTAATGAACCAGCCAGACAAGGTTTCATAGGCAGAGAAAAGGCTGAGAGAAATATTTTTGCCAAAGAGAAAGTGGCCATCTGTGGAAAATGATATGGATATCCAAGGTACTCCCCACAAGCCAAAACTGTAAATAAGGTTAGACTCTCACGTGGTTCCATGGTCTGAGTATACATTACATTTTAAACCAAACATTCATTTCATTATAGGGATTTATGCCAGCTGGCATAGCACAGTTGACCAAAGTGAAAAATGAGATTGATTTTTTTTTCCTTGTAAAACTCAGTGCACTTATAGCATTCACCCCTTACCAGAAGAGGGCAATAGTGACCAGGCTGGCATTACTCACAAAGCACAAAGTTACCTGTGGTCAAGGTCAAGTAGCACCTGCCACTGGAGACAGGCCTTGGGAAACAGCCTGTGAAACTACTGGCTTCTAAGTGTCACATGTGCAAAAACACAGGCTCTTTGCTTTTCCTTTCTCTTGGATGAATGAACAGACAACTGAAAGACCAAACCATTCCAAAATATTTCCAAATGATATACAGAATCATTGCCCATTGCAACCCTCCCATATTTTAAAGTTACCCTGGCCATACTAACAATATAAAACTCCTCATATTCCAAAAATGAAGAAGTGCTCTGAAGATTTCTGAATGCAGAACTAAGTTGATAATAGATAGGAAGTGTGCAAATTACAGATACCATTCAGGCCATTCTAAAACCAGACACGAGTTCATGTACAATGCCTGATTTTTTAACCCCTCTGGTGGAGTCACCAGCCCCATGTCTGATTCTTTTTCTCCTTCAGTAGTGTTTTCAGCTTAGATTCTTTAGGCTTTAAGCAAAGCAATCTCCAACCTCCTCTCCTGCTTGCTAAGCCATTGGCTCTGCTATGTAGGATTGCTCAACATTTGCTTTTAAAACACATTCATCTCTGGGCTGGGGTTGTGGCTCCATGGTAGAGTGCTTGCCTAGTACATGTGAGGCACTGGGTTCAATTCTCAGCACCACATATAAATAAATGAATAAAACAAAGGCCCATCAACATCTAAAAAAAATATATAAATAAATAAATAAATAAATAAAACACACTTACTTCTAATGAAGGAAAGGATTTTTTTTCAGTTAACATTTCAGGCATAAGTGCATAGTGAATGCTGGGCAGAGAGGTCAAGAGTGGAGCAGAAAGTGCATGCAGCATGATGAGATTACATCATTCGCTCCTAGGTTAAGAATTCATAGGATGAAAGATGAAACCTCTGTAAATTCACACCTTTACTTCTCAACCTGCCTAAAACTACACCTTCTCCCCAAGTCTGTTCCAACTTAGCCAGCGGCTCCAAGACCTGTCTGATTCTGAGACCCAGATATCTCCCTTCCTCAGAAACCACATGTAAGCCAGCACCACATCCTGGATTCTTCCCACCCCATCTCTACCTCCAGTCCAAGCCACACCTGGTCCTGCCTGGTCCACTGCAACAGTTTTCTGCGGTCTGGTGCATCAACTCACCTTCAATCTATAACCAGCCTGTTGCTAGAGCAATCAAGCAACGCCCTGTCTCCAACCCATTCCCTATCCCACCTGAACACCTTTTGAGGGGCCTTCCATTGCTCAGAAAAAAGACAGCAGCCCTAACAAGGCCTACAAGAGGCCCATCAATACCCCAGTCTGCAGTTTGCCCAGTCAGTGGCATTTTATGCCCTATTATTCAGACATAATTATTAATAGTCTAGAAATCATCTTAATTTTCATGATAATCTTCAAGGTCTTTTTTATTTTTTAATTTTTTTTGGCAGTGCTGGGGATTGAACCCAGGGCCTTGTGCATGCAAGGCAAGCACTTTACCAACTGAGCAATATCCCCAGTCAAACCTACATGGTCTTGTTACCTACAAGATTCTGGGATATCTGGTCCTGCCACATGTCAACATCCTCTCTGCTCTGTGCCAGCCCTCTGGCCTTTGTTTATTCACTCATTTGTTATTTATTGAATGTACCTGGGATGCCAACTCTGTTCCAGGAGCAGAACACAAAACAGAATAAGACAAAGGAGACCCTGGCTCTGAGGGAGGGCACTTCTCAACCTGCCTCCATCCCATCTCCCTGTGGGTTCCACCAGGGTTTGCTTCAGTCTTGGCTGGTAGCTCTTTCGTGGATACCTTCTAAGATTCCAGACCAGAGTAGCCTTCCCTTTATCTAGCTGGCAGCACCATGTCACTACTTTTGAAACAATAGTTCAAGATTGCAATTTTCCCTGCTTCTGGATGGCTGGTCTGATGGCCAGTTTCTTTCAAAAGATGATGAGGTCTGCCTTGATTTTTGTTAGTTATTGATGCTCTGTTACTTAGCAAAGCCTGGTCCATAGAAAGTGTTCAAATGGTACAGAGTAGACAAACCCACATAAATACAGTTATCTTATACTTGACAAAGGCACCAAAAACATTTACTGGAGAAAAGATAGCCTATTCAATAAATGGTGCTGGGAAAATTGGAAGTCCACATGTAACAAAATGAAATTAAACCCCTATCTCTCACCCTGCATGAAACACAACTCAAAGTGGATCAAAGACTTAGGCACTAGAACGGAAACCCTGTGCCTAATAGAAGAAAGAGTAGGCCCAAATCTTTACCATGTCAGCCCAGGATCTGACTTCCTTAACAAGACTCCTAAAGCACAAGAAGTAAAATCAAGAATCAATAAATGGGATGGATTCTAACTAAACAGCTTCTTCTCAGCAAAAGAATCAATCAATACTGTGAAGGGAGAGCCTACAGAAATAGGAGAAAATCTTTGCCATATGCACCTCAGATGAAGAATTAATCTCCAGGATATACAAAGAAATCAAAAAACTTAACACCAAAAAATCAAATAATCCAATCAATAAATGGATTAAGGAACTGAATAGAAGAAATACAATTGATCAACAAATATATGAAAAAATGTTCAACATCTCTAGCAATTAGAGAAATGCAAATCAAAACTACTCTAAGATTTCATCTCACTCCAGTCAGAATGGCAATTATCAAGAATCCAAGCAACAATAAATGTTGGCGAGGATGTAGGGGAAAAGGCACACTCATACATTGCTGATTGGACTGAAAATTGATGCAACCATTATGGAAAGTGGTATGGAGATTCCTTAGAAAACTTGGTATGGAACCATCATTTGACCCAGCTATCCCACTCCTCGGTTTATACCTAAAGGACTTAAAATCAGCACACTTCAGTGACATAGCCACATCAATGTTTACAGCAGCTCAACTCACAAGAACTAAACTATGGAATGAATCTAGGTGCCCTTCAACAGATAGATGGATAAAGAAAATGTGGTATATATACACACAATGGAATATTACTCAGCCTTAAAGAAGAATGAAATTATGGCACATGCTGGTAAATGGATGGAGCTGGAGAATATCATGCCAAGTGAAATTGGCCAATCCTCAAAAAACCAAATGTTGAATGTTTTCTCTGATATGTGGATGCTAACTCACAATAAGGGCAGGAAGGCTAGGGAAGAATACAGTTACTTTCGATTAGGTAGAGAGGAGTGAAGGGAGGGGATGGGGGATGACAGTAGGAAGGATAGCAGAATGAATCAGACATTATTACCCTATGTACATATAAAACTACATGACCGGTGGGATTCTACATCATGCACAACCAGAAGAATGAGAAAATTATACTCCATTTCTGTATGATGTATCATAGTGCCTTCTACTGTCATGTATAACTAATTAAAACAAATTACAAAAAAAGTTATTTAAAAAAAAAGGAAAGAAAGGAAGCAGGGACTGTATACCCACTCCTCAACTTGGAGCTGACTGTCCTCCCAGTATGGCTCTGATGGTGCCCAAGGCCTGACAAATCTTCCCCTGTCCTTGGCTTCTCTCCCTGCTTATCTTCCCTCCCAAGGTATAAGCTGATCTAAGGAGTCTGGCAGGCAGTAGAAGCCACCCCATCCCATCATCCTCACCCCCTCTCAGCTCTGCACTCTATGCAGACTTCCATCCCCAGCAAGGGGCTGCAGAAAGATCCACAGAGGAAACCATAACCAAAGAAAAATGGGAGGGCAATGTGAACATTGACAAAATAGAATTAACCAAGAGATGTTTAACACAAAAGGGTCAAGTATTCAGAAGAAACATATCACGAAGCTTCATGCCCAGAACAACTTTCTTCTCGACACAGCGATTTATTTCAAACTGCTCTCCACTTCAAAGTAGATTGCTACTTTATTTGCACAAATTCAAGGCTCATTTGAGCAGCTTTACCAAAGAGGTTTAAAATACAGAAGTTTTCCCCTCTTAGCAAAGATATTGCTTGTGGCTTACAAAAATCCACTCCTCCCTCAGCTTCTACCCATTATGGATTAAAACCTTACAGAGTCCAAATTTCAGCTTGGGTATATGCACTCACATGAACATCTACTGAAGTTGTTGGTGATTTTTACAATATGCCAACAAGAGGGGGTGGGGTGAGGTAAACCACACTGACAACACCCTATACCATACCCCACCAAGAAAGTGAGCAGAACAGAGGGCACCACAATCACAATCTCTACATCCATAGAGGGGTCCCTCCCTCCCTTGAGTCACCTTCCCAAACAGAATACCCTCCCATGCACCCATCTAGTAAGGGTGCTGATACCAATTTTTTTTTTAAATTGTCAAAAAAAATTATATATGGTTGTGGGATACGTGTGATGTTATTTGTATAGACTAAGGAATGATAAAATCAAGCTCATTAATGTAGCTATCCCATCACATACTTCACTTTTCTTTGTGGTGCAATCTTTCAATTGATTCTTCTTTGCTTGTTTGTTTTGTTTTTGAGTGCTGGGGATTGAACCCATGGCCATTTACATGCTAAGTAGGAGTTCTACCATTAAGCTACATCCCCAACCTTGATTAGTAATTTTTTATTATTAAATAAAATAAACATAAATAAAAGTTCTTATATTTTTCCCACACTACAGAGATATTTAACACCACCTCCCACTCAACTTGGCAAGTACATAGGACCATGGAGACCACTGCAATCCATAGAAACTTTTAGATGGCCTAGATGATGTTCAGAATAAAAAAAGTAAGTTCTGCCAGAATGTCAGATGTAATGTCAGAGACTCAAAGTGGAGCAATAAGAACCAAATGAAAAGCAGTAGGACACTTACAATGACAGAGGTAAAAGCTATAAAGAAATTGAAACTATCCTGAGAATCCAAAGTAACAACTAGCATACAAAGGCAGATAGAAAAAACTGCAAAACCTGCTCCTCTGAAATACCATTTCTGTCTGTCTCAAAGGCTCTGTACTGGTTGTCCCTCTGCTGGAACCACTTCCTCCAGATCCCAGGGGAGGGAACTCGCTCTTCCACTGGAGTTCAATTCTAATGCTCCTTCCTTGGAGAGCTCTCTGACTATCCTGTATAAACAGGAACCACCTCTAGTCACTAGTCATCTAATTACTGTCTTTTGTTTTCTTCATCACACTTCTCAGTATAGGTCCAATATCCCTAACCTTGGGAACAGAAGAGTTTTAGATTTCAAAGTTTTTCATATTCTGGAATATGTGCACAGACTTTACAAGTCTGGTGTTGCTAATTAGAAAATCCAAAATTCAAAACTCTGAAAGTGTCATCTTAGTACTAAAAATGTTTTGGATTTTGGAGAATTTGGGATTGAGATTTTCAGATTAGGAAAGCTTGAACTGTATCTGAAATTATTTCGTTTCTTCCCTATGCATTGTCTTACCCTGACTAAAATGTCACCTTCATGAGACCAAGGACCTTGAAAGTCTTATTCAAAATTCCGTCCCACACTGAGAACCATACCTGGCACAAAGAAAGCAAGGGATAAACTTGAATAGGTATAATTCTTTAAGAACAACAAGATACACTGAAGAGGAGTAGAAGACTGACCCCACTTCTTTCATTCTACGTCAGATTAAGGAGGTAAAAAATAAGACTGCAGAGTACATAAAATAGATAAAGTTGATCTGTAAGATATATCTTGAAACCCTATCGGATGAAAGCAGAGAATATACCATTTTTTCAGACACTCATGAAGCACTCTCTGTATCTGTCAGTCTAAACTTCCAATTTTCCAAATGAATCCAAATTTCTCTGTCACGGCAGGGCAGGTAGGAGGTGAGAGCCTGATCCCATAATAAGAT